CCCCCATCCCCAAGCAAATTTGTTGAATATCCCTGCTTTACTCCTTCCCAAAACCAGATCAGACATATTTTCCACTGAAAACTGTAGGCATCAAACCTACTACAATTACAGCATGTGCGTCTGCCTATAAATAAAACCTGTAGCTAATTGAGGAAGGAAAAGAAATCTGCTGCACCTTCATTGAAGATACATCAGCATAAGCCTATCTTTAGTAAAGATTGAGAAACTATTGCGTGCAAAATATTTAAACATTTGACCATAAAAACKTCAAATGTGCTGCAGACAATTTGGGAATTGCATTTAGAAAGTGCTGACAGGAGTTATTTGAACATTTGTGATCTTTACAAAAAGCAATGTAATGGATGTACTGTAGATATTTTACCAAACTGCAAGAGTAAAACAGCAAGTATAAACCTCAGAGTCTTTCTAATGAGAGAAAGCCCCACCTCATCTGTCAGTCATGCTGCTGCTTCTGTTCTCACTTTGGCACGTTTGAGTATCTGTGGAACTGGTTTACTGCCATTTAACACTGATTTATGGCTGCAACTAAATCAGAAAAACACAGCCTTTTTGTTTCCAGGGAGCAGTATTGACTTTTTTATWGCAATCCAAAGGCCACATATTGAATTGAGAAAATTACTCTTCCAAGCAGCTACATTTGAAGCTACTTTGCGGTAGAATTGTTAGAATGCTTGGTTAAAAAATGTATCCTTGGATGCAGCAATAACTCTCAGCACATCAAATACATTTTTGTGTGAACCAACAGATTCACATGTCAAGTCATAGTTAAAAAATGCATATTTATTGGCAATATTTCACTCTGTTTGAGGCTTAATCTGACTAAACTGTAAACTACTGTAAAAAAAATAAAATAAAAAAACAGCCAAATTAGACAGTATTACAGTATTTTAACTAAAACATAACTACGCAATACTGCATGCATTCCGGGTATTGTTAAATGTTAGTTTATGTACTAATCTTAAATTATCTGTTATATTGCAACAGAAGAATATTGTAAAATACAAATAATTCTTATACATGTAAAGATGTTGAAAACTGTCACTTTAGTTGATGGTAATTTATCTTTGCTTTATTATGGTCTCTTTGTGCTGCATTATACTTAATTATCTTATTATAGTAATAAACAGATTACAGATTGTTGACTGTAAAGGTTACAGTAAAACGATAGCAACTCTGCTGCCAGTATTTTAAAGTTAATTACAAAACCACCTTCTACAGTGTAATTCCTGTTACCACATTAGYTTTATGAGCTAAAATAGAAAAAAAAACTTTTGATAAAACATTTTATGAAGTATAAGGTCAGTTCATGAACACGTTTCTCCAAATGACACAAATAACATATCAATGTATCAAATTATATTCTTCAAACAGATTCAGAATTAGGAAGAATCAATAGAAATTTTTCTCTTGTTCTTGTGTTTTTAAGTCTCCCACTTAGTCATTTTCTCCACTAAGTCTAAATATCCTTTTCTGAATATTAAACTCCCACCATGAAGCCAGTGTGTTATATTTAGCGTTGGCACTTGGTGTCCTGTCTCACACAGTGTTCCCTCATAACGCTGACTGATGAACGAGTACCTGGGGGACCGTTTACTCTCCTAAACAGAGCAATCTGAGAGATCCAGTCATTCACCYCTACTTCACCATCTGTTAACTGTGCAGCCAGTGAGCTGCAACCTGCTGTCTGTCGGACACACTTCATAAAAAAGAAACTGTCACTATCAGCCCCTATCTATCTCTTTGGATCATCATATTTTGTTGTTTTCTTGTTTTAAGCCCAAAAAAAAAAAAAAAACGGGGGTGTCTTGCTTGTATGTTTAGTTCAAAAGCTACAAAGTATATATGAAATCCTCTGCCTGTTTAGTGTCGACAAAACTGAATGAGTCACGGGTCTTTTTCTGCTGGCATATCAACAAAAGAAGGCCGATGAGTGACTCAACAGACATTTGATTAACTAAATTAGGTGAACGGGCCCCCTGGACACATCAGATCCAGTGTGCTGTTGGCGCCTGGTGGCTTTAGYTGGAACCAGACAGAGCAAAAGCAGGCGAGCGTTGGACTTACGGCTGGGCCCGTGGATCTTGATGGGTTCATTTGACTTGACAAGTTTATGGGAGCACTGCTGGCACACGCAGTCCTTCCCGCTGAACGTCACCCTGTCTCCGATCGGGAAGGGTTTACTGAAGAAAAAAAAAAAAGAAGAAGAGAAGATTAGAAACCAGTCCACAATAGAAGATTAAAAAGCCCAAAGCTGTTGTGTGTTTACATAAAAGTCGACAGCAAGTCTAGAAACAAAAGAGTGCTGGCAGGCGCACGACTAGGAAACAGAAAGGCCGTAATCCTGCCGACACAGGCTGGAAAAGCATTTGCAAACAGTGGTGATGATGGGCTAATAGGAGGTTGCTTGCGACAGGAGCACCTGGCTTCTCTGTGATTAAGGAGGCGATAATGTGWTGCTGCCACAGGCGTCGGAAAGAATAATAATAAAACAGGCCCTCTTGCTGAGAGTCAAACTTATAAAGGAGACTGCAACAAGTGCATCCTAGCTTTATTTAAAGTTCACCCTGCAGTAGTCCCATCCCTAACACAGCTGCTGCAACACGACCACTGTTTCAGTCAATCAAACGGGCCGAGAACAAGCCTATAAACTCAAATCTACTATTACACCATTCTCCCTTTAAACCGTCTTTCCTCTCCTCCTCAAGAGACAGATTGATTTTTTTTATGACTGGGGAGGATGAGAGAATGAATGGGGGAGTTAAAAGGCTTAGGGAAGGCTGTTTAAAAAGACGCAGACGACAGTAATCCTTTCACGTCCCCGCCGAGGCCTGGAGCTGAAGCCAAGACCCGGAGGGAGGCTGGAGTCTCCAGCAGAGCTCACAGTCAGCAAAAGAGTTGCAGCGCATCCGTGTACGCTCTCACTTACAGGCAAACATGTGGCGATGAGTCGATACAGGAGCGGTCTTATCGCTGGGTTTGCACAATTTTGCGGTTGTATGTGTGTGGAGGGGCGAAACATTTTACTAGATTTGCACTGATATGCTTTGATTTCACTCCAAAGTTAAAACTAAAAGCAACTTTAATGCACGAAACAGAAAGGACAGACATGTGGAGACATTCCAGCTCACAAATTATCTGGTAATTTGGAGGAGTCAAAGTATGAGGTGTGTGACAAAAGTGACCGCTAACTCTGCTAACMCTGTTAACACTGCTAATGCTAATTAAAGATGATTTACTTATGCTCTTTCAACACCAAAATCAAAGATTACGAAAGCTTTTAACTTCATTTCCTTGGGTTGAAAGTTGGCCAGCTATGCACTAAATACAGTGACGAAAAAGAGAAACCATAAACTGTTTTACATTTAAAGTGTTGCCCTTGTTGCCGGATAAAATGTTTACAAAGGCCAGATTTGGCCTGCGGGCCTCGAGTTTGGCATGTGTGGTACACTGTAAAAAATGAAATGTTGGATTTACTTAACCATGTTATGTGACCTGGTTCCACTTAACTGAGTTGAGTAAATTCAAAGCAATATACCAGTTTTTTAACCAAAGAACATGAGTATGTTGCTTTGAATTTACTCAACTCAGTTAAGTGGAACCAGGTAACATAACATGGTTAAGTAAATCCAAAATTTCATTTTATATGAGCTCCCAATATTTTCTTTGAATCTGGAAAAGAACTGTCTTTAATGTGCCTTATCTCCTACAAAAAAACCCTGCAAACACATTAAACAACTTACAGTTTTCTCTCAGTGGCTGTAGGTTTGAAGCAAAATTTCTGCAGTTCTGTCAGGGAGTGAGAGACGAGTGTGCGGTTCATATGGTTACTGTAATAAGCAGCAGATTCAACATTTCTTTTACTATTGGTTTTCTTTACATTTACAATACAGTTTTTACATTGAAACACAGACATTTTGTCAGCGTAGACCATTACTGTCATATTGGTTTTCGAGAATAAAGTTGATGAATGTAGGAAATTCAAGCAGGAGCTGCAAACTGTAGAAAATTGATTCTAAAATGATTACATTTGAAATTTACTGCAAAGCTGAAGTTGGAGTGGAATCTGAAGAAGTTTATAGGGAAGGGTCTGATTCACGTCCAGGCATGAGAGACTAAATGTTTTCCATGCGGTCTGACCACAGACGTCACAGCGAACAGTGAAGCTCAGGCTGTATAAAACGCTGCGATAGAGCAGAAAAGTCCAATTCTGACCTTGTCTTTACCTGCGTTAGTCTCACTCCCTGAAGACGCTCCTGCCTTGTCAGCCTTTCTCAACGCTTTAAAAATTTACTCGTTACATATTTAATGCATGATTTCTTCATAATGGGAGGATATTTTCAGCTCATGTGACATACCTTGTACCTTTGATCACCTTTTTTTCTTTTTCTTATCATTGACACTTAAAAGTAATGTGCTTTCATTAGAGCTGAGATGACACACAAAAAAGGGAGAAATAGTAAAAGGCGTAAATCAGTGCTAAAGATTCAGAACGGTTAAAAAATAACGAAGGGAATAAAAAAAGAGAAAGGGGGGAAAACCGCCGAGACGAAAAGAAGACCGGAGTGAAGGATGAGAGGAAACGCAGGTGCAGGTAAAGGAGGTGAGCAACATGACAGGAGGAAGATGGAGCACAAATGAAAGAGGTGAACACTGCGGCTTCTAGCTGTCTCTTCCTTTTGTCTCAACAACACACACACACACACACACACACACACACACACACACACACACACA